ATTAGTGGAAGAATCATAGATTTATTATATAATTTTAAATTATATAAGTTTTTTTTATTCTTCTTTTCATTATTTTTATATAATCTAAAATAAAAAAAGAAAGTTAAAAATTAAAATAAATTAATAAAAAAAGAATTGTAATATAATAGATAAGAGAAGAAAAGATTACAGAGAGATCTATTGATAATAAATTGATATATATGAAAGAGAAGAAAAAAAAGAAATAAGAAAGGATCATGAAAAAGAAGGATGGAAGAAAAGAGCGATAATATCAAAAGATTTTAATTTTTAATAATTTAATAAAAAAAATTTAGCCATTCATTTTTATAACTTTTAAATAATAAAATTTTGAATTTCTTATTAATGAAAAGGTGGCAAGAAAAATATTCAATAATCTTTAAAATATTTGTAATAATTATCAAATGAAAAAGAAATTTTTTATTTTTCAATTTAATTAATTGGTTTGTTTTTAATTTGTTTACTTTACTTTTTCTTTTTTAGATTATTTTAAATTTTAATTTGCACTTTTTTCTCTCTCTCCCTCTCTCTTTCTCCCTCTCTCTCTCTCTTTCTCCTATCTTTTCAAAATTCAAACAAAATTATAAATAATTTATTAATTGTATTAATTTATGAAAAGTATTTTTTATAGCATTTAATGAAATTAATGATACTCTTTTTTTGTTTTAATATTTAAATCGATTTAAATTGAACTATTTGTGCTTAAATTATTTGCAACATATTTTCTCTCAGTGATATTTATTGCATCTGACAGTTATATTTGGGTGAAGAAATGAAAAAAGAGAGTTCAATGAATAAGAAAATTGAAAATGTATGAGAAGAAGAATTAATTTCTTAATATTTCACTGACAGATATTTGATTGAAGAAAACTTAACAAATTGAATATTAAATAAAAGGTACTAAAGATGTAAACTGTAATGAGAAGAGGAAAAGTTTAAAAATAATATTACACATTTAAGTATGTAGCAATTTGCTCGGAATGATTGAAATTTGTTCAAAATGCAATTTGATAAATCAATGAACACAATTAACTATCGGCAAAATTCAAATATATAATATATACTTTTAATTTAAATAACAAAAAATTATTTTAATTTGGAAAAGAAAAAAAGGAAGAGAAAAGGAAAAGAATAATGGTATGACTAAAAATTTGTATTAAATTTTCAATTATACATAACATTTCCTTTCATTATTATTTACATCTATATATAAATAATAATTATTAATGATAATAATAATAATATCACTTTTGTTTTTCAATTTACAATCAACGAATCATATTGAAATGGCAAAATGGAAAATAGCTTATTTTGCCAGCCACATTTCTTCAATTTGTATTATTTTCAACTCTCCATAAGCTTCCATTAAATAAGTGTTTAGTAATTGGAATAAAATATAAGAGGCATATGCATTCAACTAGCGTTCCACTTCTCAACCAAAATTTTAAACAACACAACAACAATAATAACAAGAAAAAAAACATACACAAAACATTAATTTTCGTTAATTTGTGGAAAAGAAAAAAAGGAAAAATAGAACTGTCAATATGATATTAAATTAGCATATGCAAATATTAGCATTAATTAAATATTATTATTAATACAAAAGCGAAATTAAATTAATTTAAAAAAAATTTATTCACTCAATTTCATTTTTCTTTTGAATTATTTTTAATAATATATAATTTTATATGAGAATAGTTTTGGAATAGAATAGAATAGTTAAGAGAAAAAAAATTTATAGTTAAGGTTTATAAAATTTAGTTTTAAAAGAAAAAAAGAATCCAACATGAATTGAAAGAAGGATAGTTTGGATGGATGAAATTATTCATCAAATAGTATTCGATCGTATAAATGTTTATTTAATAGTTATTGAATCCAACGTAAATGTATGATAGAAAGATCAAACGTAAAATGCCGTCGAGAATGCAAAACGTGATCCGTGAAAATATGAGTTAATCATACCTGTTTGGTAATTCTTATGTACCTGTAATAATTTCTATGATATTAAAAGGAAAAAAAAAACAGTGAAATCTATACGTCAAATTCATTAACAAAGACAAAAAATGGTGATATGACATATTTATTGCATTTGTCAAATTGTTTTCAAATTTTTGAAATTTAAAAAGAAAATGAAAAATAGTGTAAAAAAAGTAAGCCATACATGTCAAAATTTTTGTTCCCAACCTTCATCCACTTTTTCCAATTAATGATACACACACATACACATACACACACAGGTAATGATGACAGTATCGATGGAACTATAAGGGACAGATTCAAACATTTATCAAAATGTGTTTTAATGTAATGTATGGAGGAAGTATACTTGTAGCTTGCTTCATTTCTGTAGTATCACAATAAATGGTTGTTCCGCTGGCGCGTTTTCAATCGAATGGCCGCTTTTGAAAGGGAAGATTGTCCTAGCATTTCTCTTCCATCATTTCAATACGAACTTTAGAAAGTTCCCTAAAAATTTTTTCTAATTTTATTTTGAATAGAAAAAGAGAGAATGAAAAGAAGAAAGAGTGTGGAAAGAATGAATAAGAATGAGAGAGTAAAGAGAACATAGTTTTCTCCCTCTTCCTCCAACTAAAATGCACTTATTTTAATAGTTCAATTTAATCAATCATGCAATTAATCGCTTTTTTTCTTTTTCATTTGCATAGCTCTCTGTGTATATCTATTTCATTCTCATTTTGTTTCATTCTATTCTATACCTTATTTTATTCTATTCTATTCTATTTTATTCCAATCAGATTTTTATATTCTTTAAAATATTCAGAAAAATTGATTTAAAATTTCAATTTCTTTTTTAGTTTCGTTTCTTTTTTCTATTCTCATAATTAACAAATTTTTTACAATTTTAATTTCATTATTTTTACTCTTTTCTTTTGTTTCATATAATTAATTATATAATTAATAAAGAATAGTCGATGGCTTTTTCAAAATAAATAAATTCAAAAAAATATGAAAATTTTTTTTATGTTTCTTGAATTTATATATTTTTTTAGTTAAGAAATATGAAACAATTAAGAAATACGAAATTTTTTGTTGTTCTTAACCGGCGGTGTTGTAATTTCGGATCTTAAAAAAACGACACTGTTGCCAGCCAATGAAAGTTGTCGTAAAGCAAAGCATAACAAATGGAAAGAAAATGATACTTAAAAAAAAATTATCAGGGATAAATTTTTGAAATTTTTCAAAAAATCAATGTTATTATTTTTGCATTCTCTATCATTGCTATATTTTCTTTTTTAGTTGATAGTGAAATGAATCAGAAAATTATCATCTGTCACATTAAATATCATAGAATGGAGTTCAAATAACAGATATAATAATTAACAATGTCTCCATAATTATCATATTGTTGCTGTATAGTAAAGCTAATATAATATTGATCGATTAAGTGGATAACAATAATATGTATCGTTATTATTATAAAGATAATAACAACAATAGCAATAACTAATAATAATAATAATAATGTTAATTATATTCAACTACAGTGGAAGAGATTGGCAATAATAATAATTAATAATGAAAGAAAAGGAAGAGGAATAACAACAACAACAATTACTACTATTACAATACAATACAGTTACAACAACAACAACAATAACAACGACAACAACAGCAGTGCAAACGAAATAATAACAACAAATACTGCCATCACAACAGACATTAAAGTGTTAAATGATTTCGAAAGAATTATAAGAGAAGAAAAGAAGGAAGGAGTAGAATGAGAAGAAATAAATGGAATTAATAAATTAAAAACGAACTAATAGTTGTTGAAGTTGTTTACAGTAATTGAAGAATAGAATAAAATTATATTATTAATACATTAATACTATCTTCTCTTTTGATATTCAATTACTAATAATATTTCTAATATTTAAAGATAAAAGAAAAATGGGACGTCTATTTCTTTTTGTTTTAAAATATTAATTAAATTAATTTTATGTTTTTTATTTCAAAATAATAGTAATTAAAATTTGAATGAAAAATTTTTTACTTTTTTAAAGTTAATATTTTGTAATAAAAGAAATCTTTTTTTCCTTTCAATAAGAAATGGTTCGAATTTAATAAATTTGTTAATGGAATGGGTGGAAGGAAGTACGAAAAGATTATTATTTTGCGCTTTCTTTCGTTGGAGGCAAAGAAAAATAAGAATTTTGGATAATGAAAATGCTAAAACAAAAAAGTGTTGAAAGCACAGAAAAGATAAAACGAACAAAAGTAGGCAGAATGTCAAAGAATAGATGATGAAAGCCTTCTTCAATTTTAATGTTTGAAAAATTAAATTTATGATCAATTTGGGTGATGATTATTTAGTTAAAGAAATGAGAAGAAAGATGAAGTTCGGAAGAAATAGGTAGAAATTGATGAGAGGAAGGAAAAGGGTGAAAATAGAAGATAGTACCATCTCCTCGTTTGAATTGCAATATTACATCAAAAATTAACTTCATTTTATTTGTACTCATATAATCATGATAATAATAATAATAATAATGATGTTAGAAAATGATCCGGTTTTTTTCTCTCCTGTCCTTTCATTCTTCTTTTCCTGCATCATTATCATTATCATTATCATTATCATTATCAACATCATTGTATTTCCTTTCCTCTTTTATTCCCTGAATATTTTGGCTGTAAATAAACAATTCACTATCAAATTGTAAAATTTTTGAGAGCAATATAATTGAAATTTCTAAGTGACAGACATTTACATAATTAAACAAGAATTGATTAATTTTAATTTAAACATATCAATGAAATTTTTTTAACACAAACTTATCACATACCCTAATTTATATATTATCATATTACATATTTTATGATAATCAAATGATACAATTTATTAACCAATTGGTAAAATAAATGAAAAAAAGTGTAAAAATTGTAAATTTTGAATTGATATGGCACTTTTGTTTTTTAATGTCAATTTGAAAAAAATTGGAAATTATATTAAATGTAGTAAAATGTGGGATGAAGAGAAGAAGGAAGAGAAGAAGGAAGAGAAGAAGGAAGAGAAGAAGGAAGAGGAGAAGGAAGAGGAGGAGGAAGAGGAGAAGGAAGAGGAGAAGAAAGAGGAGGAGGAAAAGGAGAAGGAAGAGGAGGAGGAAGAGGAGAAGGAAGAGGAGAAGGAAGAGAAGAAGGAAGAGGAGGAGGAAGAGGAGAAGGAAGAGGAGAAGGAAGAGGAGGAAAAAGGGAAGAAAAATGAAAAGAATGATAAAAGGAAGAGAGGAAATAATTTGCTACAAAAGAGAATGAAACATTTTCAATTGATAGTAATGATATTAATGAGAGAGCAAGCAGTTCACTTTGCTTAACTAATATTGTTATATAAATGCTTATTTAAAAGTGAAATTTCATTTAGAAAATAATGAAATTGAATGATTGAGAGAGTATGTGGTTGGAAGAAAAGCAGAGAAATTATAAAAAGAGAAAATGTATTTTTGTTTGAGTGTTTATAACATTTCGTAAGCATTTCATTCATTATATATGAAAAAATATAGTTTTTTTCTTTCCACCCCTTTTCTTCCAGAGAGAGAGAAAGAGAGAGAGAGAGAGAGAGAGAGGGAGGGAAAGAGCTATAGTTAAGGCATCAATCATTTTTGGTTAAAAAAAGCCCAGCCTTGAAATAAATCCCATATTTGAATATTTGAATGATAAAGAGGAAGATAGAAAAGTTTTTGATTCCACTCATCAATTCTATTCATCCTTTCCTCATTTCATTCAATCCTTTCCTTCCCTTTTTCGTCTTAAAGTTTCATATTTAAAACCGATAGATTTATTTAATTCGTTAATCTTTTTCTCTTCCCTTTTTTAGACTTTTATATTTGAATGTTTTATTTTTGTCTTTCTTTTGTTTCTAAATTATAATTTAATTAATTAATTAATTAATCTCATTGCATATTAATTGAATTCTAATTATTAAAAAATATTTTAAGCAAATATTATCCATTACAAATATTTTCATAATTTTATCATTCTTTAATTGTGAAATTTATTTTAAAATCAAAAAACTTCTTAATTTTTATTATAAAATTAGTTATTGTTAATTGACAAACATTTCAATCAAAACAATGGAAACAATTAATTTATTTTGCTTTGCAGAATTAATAATTAATAAAATATGCTATCAAAGGGAAATTTTTTAAAAAGCCAAATTTTCAAATTAAAAATATTTCAGATTGAAAAAACTAACTGACAAATTGTTAATTAATTTATTAAAAAAAACATAGAAGTTATAAAGTTAGGATCTTTTTGAATTTTTTATCATAAAATTATCTTTTCATGCAAAAATTTTGAAAAGGAAAATTAATATATAAAAATAATTAGCAAAATTACAAATGAATATGAAATGCAAACAACAATAACAACAACAACAACGATAACAATAACGGTAATAACAACAACAACAACAACAACAACAACAACAGCAACAGCATGAAATGTTTGATGATATGAAAAGATAAAATTAAAAATTGATTTCAATAGATGTAAGAAGAAAAGGAGAAAAGGTTCAAACAATAATTCAACTTTTAATTCATTTTTAACTAATCAAAAAGAATAAATAATAATTAAATTAATATAAGAATGAAATTAATTTAATTTTAAAATTCAAATAAAGCATACACACACACACACACATATATATATATGTATTCATGTATAGTTTAAATATAATAATTATAATTGAAATTTATTCTTTTTCACTTTTCATTATATTGAAAAAAGGAAATGAGTGTGAGATAAGAATAATGATAATAACAATTCGACAATTTCTTCTATCCTTTCTTCATTTTTCAGCCTATCAATTATTAATAAATCATTTAACCTTCTTTTCGTTCATTTACAGCATTATGTTAGATACGGTAATTTCATTGGACGGGAAATAGACAGCTTTTATTAAAAGTTAATCAAACTAAAAATTTACGCATTTATTACAAATTATTATCAAAATTTGAACATTAGAAATGATTTCGTTTATTCATTAAGTAATTTATTTATGCAAAAATTTCATCGATTATTTCATTATTGTTAGTAATATTTTGATAATTTCTCTTTTGAATAGTTTTTTATTAATTTAATTTTTTTTTTTAGTTTTAAAATTATATGAAAAATTTGAATTTTATTAATTAATAAAAAATAATTAAAAAAATTATTGAAATAATAATTATCCAAAAAATGAAGGAAAAATATGAAATGGAAAAAAGAGAAAATAAAATTGTTTATTCTAATTCTAAGAATTTTAAAATGAAGTAAACAATGGAATGAATATATTTAAAAGATGAAAAATGTGTCTGAAGATCTAATATTATGAACAGATACATACATACATATACATTTACATATATATATATATATATATCATTTTAAATAGCATTGTGAAGTTCTATTTGAAAAAAAAATGCTAATACTAAATTGAAAATCAATTAGTTAATTGAATTTTGTAAAATGTTGATGAATTGAATCGAACAGAATGTCACTCAACAAACTAATGATTGTAATTAATTGGAATGATAAGATAGTGTGAGTGAAACGTTTGTTCGGAAAAAATTTTTTCAAAATCATTGCAGAAAATAAGAAAAGAAGTGAACTGATAAGAAAATTGAATCAATTAATTGATGCCATACTAATTAATGCAAATCTAATAAATGAAACTAATAATAATAGTAATTATTATTGCAATGATTATTATTACTGAAATTTGTTATTGCTAATATCATTTCATTATCAATCATTAAATAGTTATTTGAATTAAAATAATAATAATATTTTTTCTTTGAATCATTTCTAATTATCATTGTTTAATATAACAAATTCTTGATATATAATAATTAACGCATATAAAAATAAAATAAAATAATGATATAAAATTTATGTAATTATTCATAGTTGGAAATATTTACATTACACTACTACACTTATACCATTATCATTGATTATTATGAAAATATATTAACATTATAAATGATTATTATAAAAATTCTATCTTATCATTATTATCATCCAACAAAAGCTTCATCAATTAATGCATTGATAATATATTATGATGTTAATAAGAATTATTATTTGCGTTATTGTGATTGACTAATAATATTTGAACAAATCGAAAAGAAAAAACACTAATGAGTTGATAACGATAACTAATATATTTATCATTGTTATCATTATGATGATTATTATGAATTTTAAAGTAAGTAATTTTTTATTATTATAACCTATTGCAATCGCATAGTTATATGAAAAAAAATGAAAATATAATAATAATAATAATAATAATAGTAAAGTGATGGATTTGTTTTATTATTATCAGTACTATTTTTACAATCATTAACATAAATTCAAAGTGATAAATGTAAATAATAGTGACAATGTTTCTTGTTGTCACTAATATCAATATTATTATCAGTGATAATAATCACTAACCTTTTAATTCTGTCCTTCTTTCTTCTCCTTTCCATATAATCGTCATCAAAGCGATTCCGTATAATAAGTAATTCCATTTCAATAGTATTGTGCTGCCCTTCTTCCTTATCAGTTCCAGATATCAGCAATAGTAATTTATGACTTTTAGGGACAGAATGCAATATTCGCTCAAAGAATTTGAAATTTTTGATTTTGATAAAATTTTTCAAAGAAATGCAATTCGTCGCTTTCTTTTCTTTCCTTTCCTTTTATGCAATCAACTTTGTTTAATATAAATATATAAATTATACATATAATATTGTGATATTCTTAGAAGAAACGATTAACTTACAATCATATCTATCTTACGATATATTGAAATAAATTAATTTCAATTTTATTATTATTATTTTAAATAATTTAATCAAATTTTATTTTTATTCAATTTGATTCGATTCATTATAATTCAATTTATGCTTAATGTAAATTTGAATTTTATCAGATAAACGAATGATAACATTTTTGATAAGAATAAAAGCAATAATATGAAATAATTGAAGTGAAAACATTCATTCAGCTAAGCACAAAATCTAAACATCAAATTTTAATTTTGGAACTTTACCATCCTCTACCAGACAGACACATTTGTAATTAAAATTTTAATCCAATTATTATTCAATTTCAAGAGGAAGACGAAATTTCTTGAATATAACTTTCAGTTAAAGAAATAAGGATATTTCAAAATTTGATGTTTAGATTTTGTATATTCGAATATTATATATCGAATATCGAATAATCGAAATTAAATTACAATTATTGAATTTAATTTAAATTAATTAAATTTAATAATTTAAAAGAAAGATTTGTTAGCATTTCGAAGAATGAAATTTTACGAATTGAATTATTTCATTTTCGATTGTTTGTTTTATTATTTTTAATTAGAAAATGAAAAATGAATTTTTGCTTGTACTTTGTTGGCGGTTAATTTAAATTCATTCCATTGATTGAATTTATTTTTGAAATTTCATACTATCATTGTGATATGAAAAGTTTTCTGATAAAACTGGAAACAAAAGATTACACTATTTCTTTCTTTCTCTCTTTCTTTACTTACTCTCAACAAATAAACAAATATTTTTCTTTTTCAATTTCATTTCTTTCTTCAAAAAACAAAAAATTTTGTTTCGTAAAAAAAATTTTAATTATTTCAAATGTTTAATAATAACAGTGAAAATATTTTAATTATAATTTTGAGCTATAATAATTATTCATTTTTCATTTACTAATTATAATTTTAAAAATTTCTTTTACTGTCTTAAATGACTGCAATTGTTTGATAATAAAAAAGAAATGAAATTATAGGCAATGCTTGTAATCATTAAGATTCTTATATTAATTAATTAATTATCAAAAAATTAATAAAAATCATAAGGAATTATCAATTTAAAACAAAAAGAATTAATTACTTCGTCCTTAATAAAAGAATCTTTTTTTACTGTAAGATAGAAATCATCGAAAAAGTTGAAAATTTTCAGAATAGAATTAGCCATATATATATATATATATATATTCATTCCCTTTATAGAACAATATATATCTATCAATTTTCAATAAGTTGAAGAAAAGGCTAAAAACAAAAGGCTAATTTTAATTTTAATTTGAAAATGCCACTTTTCTGTTATTTTCTTTTCCTTTTTTAGTATTAAAGTATGAATGAAATATTTTGAGAAATTAAAAATAAATTTTCCATTTGTTAGGAAAAATATTTATTGGATGAATGAAGAAAAAAAGAGCAACAAAAGAGTAATATTCATAAAATGTTGAAATAATAAATGGCTGAAACAATCACAACCAACCATCAAATGAGCCGAGCCAGCCTATCGGATGATGAAAAAAATTATGTGACAGCTACTATGTGTGGATCGAATCTATTATGTCATCCGGTTGTAATTCCTTTTTCAAATTTCTCATTTGAAATATAAAAAAAATTTATTATGGAATATTTTTTTTGTCTTTCTTAACTAAAAATACCAAAGAAAAATAATTATTTTAAAATAGTTAATAATTGATGAAATTTAATTGAAAGAAATGAAATATAAATTTTAGATTGTAAATCTTTCTTTTTTCGAAATATGAAATATTTCTGATATAAAAGAAGTATTATTAATTATTACTAATTAATCATTGATATATTTATTACGAAATTAAAACTATTAAATAGCTTTCATTCATTTGTTGCATAAATTATTTCACATTCTTACAAATACAAACATATATTTTAGAAAAGTGAAATAATAATATTTCTAAAATTATTCGTAAAAATAAGAAGGATACTGTAAAACACGTCACGCACGTAAAATAAGGTAATAATAGAAAGTGAATTTCTTAAAATTTCCTACTATAACTATGAATAAGCTCTAACTCTTTTCACTCTCTTAATTATAAAAAGTTTGATAAAACAATAAATTGTTAGTGTAATGAAGTTTACCATTTCAATCCTTCTTCATTTTGAAGGAGAAAAAAAGGAAGTTAGAGATTCTTGAAATGTCGTAGTGTGAAGATTTCTCCTGAGATATCTCATCTCTTCCATTTCTACCAAAAGAGAAAGAGATTTTGATGTGCCAAATGAATTCTTCACTTTGTCATCTCTTTTCTTTATCAAACTTTCTAATGTCTATTCGCTAATATCGCCTTTTCATTTTATAACTGAAAAAGATAAATTTGGAAAAATCGCACCCTTTCCTTTTTTTCTTTTATCGTCTCATCAAATGTTTTCTATTTTCAATTCATTTCAGAAAATCTAAAAAAGTTTGATGGCTTCTTTCCATATCTTTCCTAAAAATTAATTTATTTATATTTTGGCAAGTTTTAACCGAAAAAGTTGTCAAAAAATAAATAAATGAAATTTCATTTTTGTTCTTTCATTTGTTAAATATTACTGCCAACTTTTTTATCACAAAACAACAGCACAATATCATAAGAACAAAATATTATATAATTTTATTTTATTTCGTTTCATTTTTAACTATTTATCACTTTTTTCCTGCAAAATATTTGAGGGAAAAAATTTTGAAATTATAAAAATTAAGTAACTAAATAAAGCAATGCCATATTTTAATAAATATGGAATGCAATTCTGATTTCAGTGATTTAATCATTCATGTGATATGTTTTAAATTAAAGCTTGAAGTATTATCAATGATGAAAATGGTTGTCATTTTCTTCATATATTTTGCGGTAAATACATCCAAGAACAGATATTAGCAATTAATGCATCAGTTAATTTCCTCTCATTCTGATTATTTTCATTAATGTCATATCTGATAAAGTGATAGTAATTATAACAAATTTTTCATATAAATGGATATATATATATATGCAGTATTAGGCAGTATTGTTGTATTGCAACGATGATAACATTCATTATATCACATTGATCAGAATAATGAGAAGGAACTGATATATAAAATGTCACATTTGAAAATCGATAATTTCCTATCGCCCAATGAATGTTGATATATGATAAATTTGAAAGTTGTTCTTTATATAATTTCAATCGATCTTTCAAACTTAGAAGTCCTACTACTAATACATTTATTAACATTATTATTGCCTACGATGCTACTGCCGTTGTTGTCGCTATTGCCTTAAGCTAAAAAGCCTTAAGATAGATTAATAAAAGGCCTTCTTTGCTATTTGCTCTTCAAATGCTTCTTCTTTCATCCGATATTTTGGTCCAAAATGCTGTCATATAATTTATTTCGTTACAATTCTTATAGCCATAATGGCTTAATTTAAGCTAATTATTTCTGTAAACTTTTATTGTTGAATTTCTAATTTAAAATAATATAGTAAACAATGATATTAAAATTATATTAATCTTTGTTAAATTAATTCAAATAACAAAAAAATATTGTAGAAATGTTATACATTTAAAATGTTTGTTGTAAACTTTGACCTTCTGTATATTTTCTTGCTACCAATCGTTTACTGTAACAAAGATGCCAATCGTTTATTCGAAGATTTATTAGTTGATTATAATAAACTTGTTCGACCAGTGGACAATAAAACGAATGCATTGGTTGTTCGTTTTAAGTTAAAACTATCACAGTTGCTTGATGTGGTCAGTTTTTCTATTCTAATGTTTGTTTAAATTTGTTAATTAAAGTATTATAATTAATTAAAGCAATCTTTTCCAATAAATAATTTTCATTCAATTTTTTTTCTTTGTAAATTAAATTTAAATTTATATTTCAGCACGAAAAGAATCAGATAATGACGACGAATGTTTGGCTTCAACATGTTGCTATTTAAAACTTATTTAATCAAATTTTGTTTTATTTTTCAATAGGAATAATTAGATGTCAAAATAATTTCTCATTTTAATTATAATTCTCATTTCTTTGTGAAACAATAAACGATATTAGTAACTCTATATCATTCTAAAATTTTTCGCTAAAACAAAAAGCACCTCTTAACAGCTTTTTTTGCTTTAAAAAATTCAGAAGTTTGAAAATGATAGTTTTAGGTTTCATTTTCTAGTTTTGCAGACATGGACAGATATCAAATTGAGATGGAATCCGGAAGAGTATGGTGGAGTAAATGTTTTATATGTTCCATCTGATATGATATGGATTCCGGATATTGTGCTTTACAATAAGTTTGAATCTCTTTTATTCCAAAAAAAATGTTCATTTATTTCTAAAGTGAATGTTTTCTAGCAAAGGTGATAAATTAGAAGTTTATATTTGTATTTGATAAAGATGATATTTGATAAAGATTTTAGAAAGATGAATAAAGTGAGAGATTTTAAAAACAATCAATAATTATATTATTGAAAAGAAAACTTAGTGATAACTAAGTGATAATATTACAGTGCTGATGGAAACTATCAAGTTTCAATCTTAACTAAAGCTAAATTATCACCTAACGGAACTGTGGAATGGGCACCACCAGCAATTTACAAAAGGTTTAATTGAAGCTTTTAAAATTTAGCAGATTTATTCAAATTTATTTTTCAAATTATTTCTTCCATTTCTCTAAACTTTCTTTTTAATTTTTATTATTCATAATTTTAGTATGTGTCAAATCAATGTGGAATGGTTTCCATTCGATGAACAAACTTGTGAAATGAAATTTGGTACGATAGTTTTTAACTTAACTTGTCTAACTTTGAAACATTTATCATAATTTCCTTTTTGTTATAGGTTCATGGACATACAATGGTTTAGAAGTTGATTTAAAGCATAAAGATTCGGATAATGAACGAAAAGTAACAGAAATAACTGTAGGAATTGATGGCGAACATGTTGAAACAGTTTGGATTGTTGATAAAGGTCAATTATATTATGTATATGTAATCAAAGATATCAGTTATTATCTTCGTTTAGGTCGTTGATAAAGTCAAAAATATATTATATATATGTAATCAAAGATACTAATTATTATCATCTCTTTTTTAATATAAATCTGTTTGTTTCAAAAAAAGACTGAGAAAAAATTAGACAAATAAAAATAACACTTATTAATTGAAATAAAATAAATTAAAAATTTAATTTAGGCATTGATCTAAGCGATTATTATCCAAGTGTAGAATGGGATATACTTGGCATATCTGGCAAACGCCATGAAATTAGGTTCCTTTTTTCTCATCATTTTTTGCAATTTTGACAAAACTTCTTATCGATCAATAATCATTGAAATTTCAAATGACATTTCATCGATCATTTTCAATTTTTTTTTTTCAAGACTTTTGTTTCATAAGTTTTTCTAATTAATATTCCATGAAAATTGAAGATATTCATGTTGTGAATCACCATTCATTGATCTCACATACGAAATTCATCTTCGTCGAAAAACATTATTCTATGCAGTGAATCTCATTTTTCCAATTGTTGGAATTAGGTAAGTATATATTAATTTACATATTAGTCTTAAAGGAATTTCTTTATTTCAGTATGAATTTTTCTATCTCTGAAATCTTTTAATTTAATTGATTTGAAATCTATTTATACAATTTAACCTTTTTTTGTTGATTTGACCTTTCATTTCAGTTTTCTTACGGCCTTAGTATTTTATTTACCATCTGATGGTGGTGAAAAGATTTCATTTTGCGTATCAATTCTAATCTCATTAACAGTATTTTTTCTATTACTTGGTATGTTTTGTTTAGAAAAGCCATAATTAATTTCATTTTGAAATTTATTGAAATTTCATATTTCAACTTATTTATTCCTTAAATCTCTACAAGTTGATAATATATAAGTTTTTTATCTTTAATTTTGATAGAATTGAAAGTATCAAATATTTGATGAATGTATAATTTACAATTTTGTTTCTCTCACATTAACTCAAATCTTATTTGTTTAACAAAATTTTAAATTAATTTAAATTTCATTGTTGCAATCTGGTCGAGCAAACTTTCAATTCACAGTAAAATTTAAATTATTATTTTTTCAATTAATTGCCATTCCTAAAACAAAAGACTAAAATTCATTTATAAAGTTTCATTAAATTTGAAAAAATTGCCTGTTAGCGGCAAAAAATTATAACTAAAATTTTATAAACTCTAATTAAATTTTTATGGGAAATATTGCCAAATTTGGTTTGCTTTTTAAATTGCTTACAGTCGGCTGTAAACATTGTTTTGTTGGAATTCCTTCACTGCAAATAAATTAATTTATTTTTTAAAAAAATATTTGACAATTTTTTATATTTGATAAATGCATTGCATATGAGAATATTCGTTGCTTTGTTTGCTCTAAACTTTTTCGTATGTATTAATTCCAATAAAAGTAAGAAAAGACAAAAAGGCTATTTTTAATGATTAATTAATTAATTAATTGTTTAAAACTGTGTTGAAGACTGATATCCTACAAGTAATGAATAATATTTGAAGAAAATTCAAACTGATAAATTATCAACAAAAGTGGCAAATATTTAAGAAATATTTCTCATAGCAATAATAATAATAATAATAATAATAATAATAATAATAATAATAATAATAATAATAATAATAATAATAATTTCTTTTCAAATGATTAATTAAAGTGATGAAAAATATAAATTGGAATGAAATATTTTGTTTAATTCTTCTAATATTCAAACCAATTAAAATATCAATTGTCTATAATTTGAAATATAAAAGGAATAAATAAAATTCATTGAATTTTGGAATTTATTAGAAATTAAAAAATTTATGAGTACTTTTCTGATAATAATATTTATTGTTTAATTCATAAACAAATGTATTTATCAGAATTTAAAATTAAATCGCATAAATAATTTGTTGATAACATAAAGGTATGTAAACTATAAGATAACATAGTTAATTAATACTGTCATATCTTTATTGTATTAATTAATGATTTTAATTAGATTTTAAATTTTATAGAATAATATTTATACCTGCAAGATATTAGCATATTAAAATTGAAATGATTTAAAAGAAAAACATACATATATATTAAATGTTAAGTAAAATTTCATTCAAAATGATCATTGAAGGGCGACTATACATATGTGATATATTAAAAATTGCAATATAATGTTTCTTTTGTTTCATTAAATTAAATTCTTAAAGTTTAATTAAATATGAATTTCAAATTTTTCAATTCTTTGACAGTTTTTTATATTTCCATTTTTTTAAAGAAGAAAATGCTTAAAATTGTCATTTCATAAAAAAGGTTTTAAATATTTCCGAATTTTTTATAGTTGAAATAACTCCGCCAACTTCATTAGTAATACCATTAATTGGAAAATATTTATTATTTACAATGGTTCTTGTGACTCTGTCAATAATTATAACTGTTATAACTTTGGTATGTTTCATTCATTTTCATCTAATTCTTCCTCAAACCTTTTTATAATATAAAATAATTAAATTTTATTATAATTCAAAAATGAAATTTCCTTTTTTTTAGAAAACATTTCATAAAATATTCATTCGTTACAACTTTTTTTAGGCATAGAAAGCAATAATATATTCAAATTTAAAATTCTATTTGTTATATATAACTATATTTAATAATACGGTATTAGAAATACCGTATTATTAAATTCGTTATAGAAATCTATCTTCTTTTAAAAAACAGAATATTCATAATCGGACACCATCAACACATATAATGCCAATGTGGGCCAAGAAATTCTTCATCGAATGGTTACCGAAATATTTGTATATGCAACGGCCAATACCAACAGGAATTGAATTAACGCCAATTGATAATAATAATTCAAATGTGATAATTTGTTAAAAGTTATTTAAAAATTTTAAAACAATTAAATAAATAATTAATTTAGAGGTGTCAAAGTTGAAGCATACATTATCGATTCTAATTTGCTTAAATCGAAATTATTTGATTAAAAAAATACCAAATTTCTGAATATCTTTATTTGTCAATGATATCTTTCTTTTCTTTATCATTTATCTTTTCACTTCTGATATGATAAAAATAGTATTTTTCAGATATAATCAGTAAATTTTATAAAATTTCAAATAATTTTTAAATTTACGATAGAGTTTCATAAGATTTTTTTGGCATTAAATGCTTATAATAATAATTTGAATTTGTTATCACTATTATTTGATATTACTTATCATTTTAGACAATCTTAATTAAGCGATCTCATTTACGATTACCTGTAATAACAATGAGTAGAAATGAAAGATCAATGATATCAACATCATTTGAACAGATATTATAAAACACTCAATTTTTTTAATTGAAATTTAAGTTTAAATTAAATTTAAAATTATATTGCTACGCATATATTTAAATTAAATTTTAAATCATTGATTTTAAGTTCTTATTCCGCATTCTTTTGTTCTCGTAAATTTAAAAACTAATGTAAGTTCTTATTCTGTTTAGGAACATTTGCTTTGTCCAATAAATGTTTCTTCTATTTTTCCCGAGTATAATGAAGAAACTTTCGGGAATTCCAACCGACAACATCATGAATCAACAACCTTACAAAATGCTTTTGATAGTGTTACATTTATTGCTAATCATTTAAAGGATAATGAAGATGATCAACAGGTTAGCTATTATGCAAAGTTCAAATACCTTTTATAATTAATAGGTTAAAAGAAGCTATTAATGAAGTCAGTAATGATTGCTTAATCGATTTAAGCAAATTAGATTTAAGCTTTAGCAGATTTCATCATTAAAGCATTTGTTTTTATTATCATTTCCGATACAATTAACATCTCGATAAGATCGAATGATTTATATGACTGAGAATTTAAAATAAAAGTTGAAAAAAAAGGTGCAACGAATTTCTCTATGTGATATTTGGATTTTTCATATCATACAGATGAACATTATATTAAAAAAGAATTATTGATAAAAAAGAAATTGAAATTCAGTAAATGATGATATGGCTATCAATTATCTATGATAATGTTATATTCTAGATGGCTTTTATTGCTAGTAACCAGCGGTATCTTTTGTTATCAATAAAGTTTTTCTAAGAGCAAACGATATTTGTTGGACTGATGATAATCATTAAAAGGTTTATGAATTATAATTGAACGAATGATTGTTTGTTCATTTTAGTAAGGTGATTGTTTTTATGCTTCAGGTAATTGAAGACTGGAAATATATGTCAATGGTATTAGATCGAATATTTTTAATTTTATTCACTTTGGTATGTATGATTGGCAGTGTTACCATTATCCTTCGTGCACCGACCATTTATGATAGCACAGTCCCATTAGCATAATTTATTCTGTTATATGATTCAAGAAAATTTTCATTCATTTCCAATTAACAATATCATGTTGTTATGAACGCTCAATCAGTAACGATAAACATGTCAATCAGTAGCAATAAAATAAAATGCAAAATTGTGTGCATAAATATGAAATTTGATTTACTTGATTTTATAAGGAAAATAGGTATAACAATCATATTTGCTTGACTGCTTACTTTACAGTCATTTTCATTTTATCATCTGAGAGTTAACAAATAATTGTGAATTATCGGTTCTGAGAATTGATAATTAACTGTAAATTATTGGCTTCAATTATTTTTCGAAATTTCGCTTATGCTAAAAAATTATTCGATGATACAACATTGTATCATTAACTACAAGTTGTCACAGAATATTTTTTTTTTTTTGCAATGAATATTTTTTTAATCTATTAGTTGTAAATTGACTATTGTTTTTGTTTTTAATTAATTTCATGGAAAAACTTTTAAGAAGTAATAAATAAAACACTTGAATTTTTAATCTCTATGATAAGAGATTTACCTCAAGAAAAAATACGGTAAAATTAATACAGAAAGAAAAAGAACTTGGAATTCATGGAAGAAAAAATAATAATTGTAAACAAAAACTTACTAATAGTGAAACTAAAGAATGGCGAAGGATAAACAACAGAAAAGTATCTTACAATGAAAGCGATCCATTGTATGATACTATCATAAGCGACAAGTTATCACATTCTTGCTTCCGATATGATCAAGTATCAAACACTCTCAGTACTATTTCATTTTTTTTATTGATTAATTCAAAAGAGGCAATTCAACCTTTTCAAATACGAAAGGTCAGTTTAACGTTTTACAATCATGTGATAAAGAAGTATATTATTATAGATAATGATTAGTAAATGAAAATAACTAAGTAAAAAAAAAGGTATAGATTAACATTTTGAAACAATTTAACCCACTAATGAACAATCTTTATAATACGAATTTCTTCAATCTAATTAATTATTTCAACAGATTGTTGTGATAGAAATTTGAAATAATAAATGAATTATGGCAAAATTTCTCAGTCAATCACAATGTTATCCAAACACTATATAATTTAATCTCTTAATATTACAGTCTATATTATTTCCTTCATTTCAATGGTTTTCTTTTAGGAATAAAATTTAGAAAGAGTTTGAAATTTCTTTATTATTTAAATATAATTTTTCAAACAATCTCAAATAATTTCAATACCTTTTCTATTAATCCTGTAGAATGACAACATTATCATAATCGTACCATTCGTCGATTTATAAATATAATAAGTCTAATTTGTTCCGTGCTACAATGATACCAACCAATTGAAAACATAATAGAAATTGGAAGAAATCAAAAAAGAAAATTGGGAACTATGTTTTGAAATTTTTTAGTGCCATAATTGGGTTACATCTTTTATCAGTAAAAAGCTTATCTTTCACTCCTCATTTTTCCCATTTAAAACATTAATTTATTCATGGATTTATTGTTAAATGATGAGAATTGTGATAATTGATAAAGGAAAACTAAATTCATTTTTTATAAACAAAATATATGAACAAGTTGAATATTTGATTTAATAAATTTTTCAGCTTTCTATTCTCAAAATTTAATGAAATTCAGTGTATTAGGAGGAGAGAGAATCGATTAGTCAGGTTGAAATACATGAAGCAGATAATTTCGGCATCGATATTATTCACAGAATGAAACGGATTTTATATCTGAGATAATTTATTCTTGTCTCAGTTGGAAATTGTTGTAACTTTATCAAGCTAGAATGGGATGCTTTGAATGCTGACATCGTACCAATTAATTTGAAATTGGAAATTTAAATAGAAAGATTTGGGAGCGAAAAATTAATTTATCGATCTGAAATGCATATAGAAAGAGTATAATTATGGGAAGAAAATCAAGAAATCGTTGCCCGCAAATCATTTCGATTATTTTACTTCAACAAAATAATTTAAAAAATAAACGGAAATAACCTACTTGTCAAGCCAGCTGGAACAAATCTTTTTCAAACCGACTTCATGTCTAACCGACGATTAAGATCAACAACAAACTAACTGTCATAAGAATGTATCATACTAAAATTTGCTTTGCAAATGATAAACGATGCACAATTAATACCTATTTGTCACCTTTTCCTACACTTTCCAATCTTCAATGACCCAACAAAATTGGAGAATGAAAGAGACGTTTGCATACAAAAAAGAAAACTTCCAATAATTATTGATCAAATTTGCAAAACGATCATTTGTCAATTCAATAAATTGATTTATCGATGCAAACGGTGAAATTGATGTCATATTGTTAACTATTTTCAAGGAAAAATATTAGATAAGAGATGTGAAATATTAGATAAGAATCGCTCTCACTCAACGTTTCAGTAATTTTTATATCTAAATGATGATTTCTTTTTTTGAGATAATCGCTATGCAAATTTATCATTAAATATATTGGCAAATTTAATTCGCATTTAGAGGAAAAAATTAAATCAATTTGTATAGAATTTTTTGATGACTATAGTAACCGAGAATATAACTTATTTGACGATTAAACATCATGGACTGTCCTGAAATTCAGAAATACATAAATTCTCGGAGTTGGTTGGAGCTTTTTGAAGTTCGAAAAGCAGTGAAATCCTTTAGTTATTTGTTAAATGAATAACGGATTTGATAAATAAGTGATATGGCATGCATGTGTGATTGCTATCCAAAGGGTGATTTCCGAATTCTGAGATACATCCAGTATACCAAATGACATCTTCTGTTAATCGTGGTTCAATAACTTCCTGGTGTGGGCCTTCTAAATCCATTATTTCGAGTACAGAATTTAAATGATAGCCCTCAGCAGTTGGTTGGGTTGACATATTCCTTAACAGCGGCTTCCTTAAAAAAACGAAAAAATGGTGTTTTTAAGGAGATGTTAGTATTTTTCATTGAAAGCTAAGTTCTATAGCAATACTTTCAATCTTTTATCAAATTAGATTGGAAACTTTGGTAGCAAGGTTGCCTAAGTTCTAACTTATAAGCTTTGTTATCTCTTCTCATACGAATTGCACTATCATTGTTGATACGAAACAGAAATTAACGCGTAAAGCATCAATCTCATGATCTGTACTGAGATGTCCAGATTAACATTAAGGTTGTAAAAGAGAAAAGAAAAATCCCGAAGCATATTTTGGCATTACATTGATCTAACTATTAGAAATAATGCTAGTGTGAAGGAAGACAGGTAATGATAATGCTATGAAAAATGAATCATTCCACTTCTTGTTATAAAGTGCTGAGATTTTTTGATTTATTGAGAGTTACCAAACATGAAACTGACAACAAACTTTGTATTGATTCCACTTTCCATGAAAAGCTGATTTATGGATACAAATTTGTTTAGTAAACTTATATTTTATATTTCGTAAAGCAAAAGAGCAAAACTCAGACTAATTTCATGGCCTTTCTTTTTCTATCAGAATTTGTACTTAAGCTATCTTATGCTATAAATTGCTTTTCCCAAATTCGTTTCTATAAATTCTTATGTGTGTTTTACAGTTTTCATTGCTCATGAAAATCAAAACTTCTTTATACACAATCAGATAAAAGAAGACACTAAGTTGGTCATCCTTTATATTTATAGAAGTAAGCTGTATGGATTGTGACTGGCTGACTAAACTGTGCTAAAGTTAATCGATGTTGAAGTTCAGTTCATTTGACAGAAAGAATGCAGTGATTTCTATCCCAAAGATTCCATTAGTAATTTAAATTTCCTTTAAATGTTATCGTCATCATAAGTAAGTGAGAGCAATATCTCAGTGCCTAAAACGCCAAAAAAGGGAAGCAAAGAAGATAATGGCAAAAAACAATGTAATTAAAGAAAACATGGAATACATCCTGCTCCAAATGACCGATGTCACTCATGACCACTCTTCTTCATGCCTTTCTATGCACGCCAAATGAGAATGTCACAGACCAGCATGGCAAAATTGTCTAAATAATCCGATGCAACTGATATCTCGTCGTCGATGAAATAACCTGAAGCGGTGGTTACACATGTAATACGATCGTTTGCGTATTTGGATAGTGGGAAGATGTAATAATGATATATGTGTACCTCCCGAATAGTAAACTCATGTGTTAGATGTGTCCATCGGAGGAATTCCAATAAAAGGACCAATGTTAATCAGTCCATTTCATCTCTTATTAGAGGCAGCTAATGATAAAAACTTATCAGCTTTAGTATGTCCTCGAAAGTACCTGACGCAAATCGGGACATTCAATATATAAACTGTCGTATTCTCGTACTGGGTGGGATATTGATGCTGAGATGGGCAGAGGAAGAGTTATTTTTGAGAAATTATAAATCGTCACTGTATACTTGATAACATTAGCATGTTGGATCGGTTCGCATATAATCTCTCATTAATTGTTTGGTTCTAGGTTTTGGTCGACTGGAGCGGTGATTTGCTAGTAAATTGCTAGCAAGTTAACTCTCACGCAATCTTCAATTCAATATAATAATATGGGTACTAGTACGGAGGCAGCAACTGCATCGTCCACTTTACTCACAGCAGCAGTCGGTAATGATGCTGAAAAATTACAGTGGATAGTGTTAAACCAAGTGGTATACTTTAGTTCATTTCTATATTTAAATCACTCATGTTCTGTATAACATCGATAGTAGTAATGAACCAGTCATTTTTTTCCTTTTCGTAAATATAAGTAATGTTGTGTCAATTAAATACAGGAAGGTGTGCAAATGCGTGAAATGTTCTGGGATTTAAGTAAGGACGTTGATGTGGACATGCTGGCATGCAGCGAAGCTGTCAAACTGTTGCGCACAATGACTGAGGTGTGAGTTTGATTCGTAGATCTTCTAGATCTTTTGAAATGATTGGACATGTTTCACGAGATTTTGTGGATGTAATGCACGGAATAATAAATTGCATATGAATTGCAGGAGGAGAAAACACAGTGTTGCAAAGCATCTCTTTCTCTACTTTCAAACAAGGATAATCCTCGATACATCCATTATGAAAGGATTTTATCTTCAATATTTATGGCTGCTTGCAATGAAGGCATCCTTCCTCTTTCGTTAGTCTATATTGAAATGCTTTCACATAAATGTTCAAAAATTCTCATTTAGTCCGTTTGCTTTATTTTGCTTAAATCACATCCAAATTTTAAATGAAATAAAACTATCCTTTTCATTTGGTTATAACTCAAATACAGAATTTCTAGCTCAGTACAAGGATAGGAAAAAACAGTAGTTGTGGTTCAGTTCATCAAATGTGTAATTTAATGAACTAAGCCACAATGTGTTGTTTCCATTTACTAGTATATTTTCAAAAAACATTTTCATTCTAATATATTTTTTTCAGTGATTGCTGTGAACTTCTTATTCTTTGTACCAATTTCACCCTTACGACGCCAGTGGATCCACGCAAGTTTGAGTATATGCAGAAAAACTTGCATCTAATTGATTACAAAGGGCTTCGAAACATTTTGAAGTTACTTGTGGTTGAACGTATGCAGGAAGTGCCTTCGACAATCACACATCATCACCGCCATATGCTTCTGCCTGTAGAAAATGTTCGTTTTTCTTTAGAATGCTTTCTCACGACTCAAGTAATTTAATACCATTTATATAATTTCATGTGACAAAATTATTTCAATGCTCTTCTGAAGACATTACTCATTAAAATAATTTTTTAGATGTTACTAACGCTAATCGATCGGCAGCTAAATCTTCTTCCATGCATTTTTACAATTACTGAGCTTCATCGTGTCTCCAGTAATTCACGTGCCTTTCTTTTACCAGTTCGTTAATTTTTATATCAACCACTGTTTGTTTTCAAATTTATGTGAAAGAAAATGATAGTATAAAAGCGATTCTAAAAAGTGCCATACTAATATTTTAGCTAAAGTATTTGCTAAAACGAATTATTTGCAGAGGGTAGCGAAAAAGTTCAACGATATGTTTATTTCTTTTCGGCCACTTACCGAAATGGTAACAGTAATCGGGCGGTCATGGCTTTACCCCATAGCCGCTCACATTTCTTTCCCTGTAAGTACGCCATCTTGGAAACTTGAGGTCACCACTACTCGATTGCATCAACGAGCTCATCTTCCATATAAATCCGAGCTTTTTGCTCCACAGTCTTTTCTGCTTTACACACTTCTTCGACAGCCTCGCGGAAAAGATACACTTTCTGTAAGTCAGCAGTTTTATTCGACTTTAAAATTGAGCTGCAAAAGAATGACGACTTTGAGAAATTTAGGAAAAAAGTATTTTTATTCAATAATTATTAATGGAGATTTATTTAGTAATTGATAGTTGATAAGCATGACCTGCAAAAAATGCACCTTCAAAAAACCCCTCACTAGAATTAGGTATGTATATATTGCAGTATGTTATGCGACAAAATACGAACTTGACACCACAGCGACTACAGTGTGATGAGTTGCTGCACATGATCATTCTCGAGGCTATGAGTGAAATGGAAAAGGCAGATACCCGCCTTGACGATCCTGTAAATCAGTATCAGTGGATGAACATTACACAAACAGTTACATTCTCACTACTCCATGGAAATGCCTCCTTTTCTCGCCTTCTTAAAATATTATACGAATCAGTAAGAATAGAATTTATATCGAAAAATGTATAATACATGCTCTAAAAATGTTTTAGATTGCGATATCTTTAAATTCTTTTTAGAGGAGGTAATATGATGCTCGTTTTATTCACCAATAAGTAAATTATAGCTTTCGGAAACAGTGTACCGAAAAGGAAGAGATGAACTAATGTGGGTTATTTTGCAATACGTTGCAGTTTATATTGACAGAGTATCAAATGAGGAGATGGTTCGCATTGCCGAAATTTATAACTTACTTTACAGGTTTGTTGCATAATATTTCAATTCATTTGCTTTAAACATATGTTTCGATGCAATTTCCATATATTTTTACCCCGTTGTGGAAGTTGTACATGTACGATCCTATTTAATTTTACTTATTTAGTGATGAGCAGACATGGTCTGGTGCAGACACAGATCCGCTGTTGTTTGTCCGGTTTCTGGTTCCAGCTGCCATCTGGATACATTTTTATAAGAAATTAGGTAACTCTCACACAGAGATACTTCCTAAACCTTCCGAATCCTTATGGCGACAAATACAGTTCCTGCAAGAAAGAACAGCAGATTCAGATCCCAATATTCAAAATGTCGCTGATCACAATGCTGTTCTGGCTGCTGTTGCTAATGCTTGTGAGGATTAAATTATTTACTTCCACCTTATCATTGAAATAGCAATTGTTAAAGTAGTTATTGATTTCTGTATTTTTTTGATATTATTTGCTTTATCAAACATCTTGTTGCTGCAATGTAGCCACACTCTGGTAACGGACTTTGTTAACTTCTCTGACAAAAACTTCATATCTCCTAGATTTGCTGAAGATGATATGTGGCTTAAAGAAATGCACATGCTGGTAATTTTGCACATCCACGAAAAACGTATGCCAAAGCTTTTCTGCTTAGTACGATGTAAGATATTTGGATGAGGCTATTAAATTTCTTGTTAGTTTTCCAGACAGCAGCGATATGCCGAACTTCCAGAAATTGGTTTTAACAGCAGTGGATGTCTTTTTGGATGGATCTCCGGAAGAAATGAATACAGTTTGGCATCTTCCGCATGGGATCATCTCCTACTCGAAAAAGACACCTTTACCACTCTCGTTGATCGATTCGTTGACTTTCCATGCACGGAATCATTTATTTCAACTTTGTTTGTTGAAACTCACAGCTATGCTTTCAGTTCAGCAAACACAAAAATTACCTAGTCCTGCAACAATCGGTCCATTATAACTTACTTCATTCGTTGCTTTGTTTTTTTCTAGTTACATTTTGTATGCGCACTCATTCTGTGTATCTCCCATCTTATGTTTGTTTTAATTCAGATACACTTGTGCGTTTAGCAGTAACTACGGAATTTGAATATGGTGTGAAGCAGGTACTAGCGTTGTTGTCATCCACATTAGCCTCAGTAAACAAAAACTCTAATTTGGGATCAGCACAGCAGGATCGTTCCCGGGATTTACTTTTTGTTCTTTGTGATATTCTTTCATATCGTTTCATCAGTTATCCATTTCCAGTGGGATCAAAGGTTTGCTTCTTCTGCTTCTTATGTATTTTATTGGCTTTGAATTTGACTTTATGACATTCCTTAGTTTTGTGTGTAGTAAAAGATAATTGGATTAGTTTCGTCCTTCAGATTATCATTTTGAGGTTAATTTGATGCTTTGGTGTTATACAGCACTTGGAAACAGTCAAGTACAGATGAATATTACACTGTGCTCGGCTCTGGAACAGGTTATGCTGCGATATTGGATGTGGAATTCGCCACAAGAAATGTTCTATCTGAGCAATGCTTTCCTTGGTCTGTTGATTTATTATGGTCTCGAAACACAATCACTTAGGAAATTTGTACTTTACCAAATTTATGAGTTAGGAAACCAAAAAGATGAAATTTTGAGCTAAAAATATAGTAGCTTATTTTATAGTAGCTTTATTAAAAATATGGTAGCTTATTTTTGGCTCAAAATTTCATCTTTTTGGTTTCCTAACTCATAAATTGTGTTCCCAGGTGTGGATTTATTTATACTCTTTACAATATTTGCTTAATTTGACTTCGAAAATATTTGATAAATTCAGGCAAACAAGGCAAGCTGGCAGTCATATTCAACACAGCTAATTCAACATTTTGTGATCCACAGCATGGGAATGTTCAAATTGAACGGCAGTATACAAATTCACATGTATCCCTCGAGTTATTACGATGCTTACTTCTTTCTATGTTCAGATCGCTCAAAATGACAGGCATTTATTGTATTTGTATTTGTATTCATTTATATATTTAGACACTTCATATTAAAGGTATTCCTAAGTAAAGTCTTGAGAATAGCTGGAAATTACTTCTGTTTTGTTATAATTGGTTATCTCTTAGTCATTCGTCCTTCCAACATTACTTACCCTTTTTGTTGCTTTTGAAAAGCAATGCTCCTTTTCTAGCTGAATTTCAGAAGCATCGAGGCTGTAGTTGATTTTTTAGACTACAGTTACTTTTAATTAAGAAGTCTTAATAGTATTCCTCACTCTTCCATACATTATTAAAATGTGCATTAATGTTCGTGAACATGTTTCACATGTTGTTTTTGTTTAATTGTATGGTTTATTAAATTTTAGGAATGGAAATGACCGCAGAAATGATGCAGCGTTGTAATGTGAATTTCTGCTGGCCCCTGTCGATTAATCGGACATATAGCTCTCAACTCATTGGTTGTAATGTGGATGATGGCGCTGCAGATACAGTTGTATATGATGAGCTTATGCATCGTGTTATTCAAGAAGTGCATCAAGTACAAGGTTCAGATTGCGATATTTTATTCAACGAATTCCAATGATGCATTCTACTCGTCACTTTTGAAATCTCAAAATAGCTTCATGATTGTTGTTTTCTGGCGCTGAGGAGTGCTTTCGAAACATCTTTCAGTTATGAAGATACTTAACCTAGTAATGCTTTGAAGAATTATAACCGATAGCGCGCTTGAATATCACTTTTTTATTTTACGATAATGTTGCTTGTACAGAATGTGAGTTTCGTCCACTACGAATGATATATTTGATGCATGAAGTCTCGTTACACGTACCAGAAAAACTGTTGAACAATAGCTCTGAAAATTTTTTCTGCTTCCTTCACTGTTGCAGGTAAGGGAGTGAACAGGAGTTATCAGTCACTGAGGAAATATTTGCAGAAAGTTTTAGTAAAATCTTTTCTTTATTTCTCCCGAGAACTGCAAATTTTCAGAAATTATTTATGCACAAGGTTTGGCTGCTGAGGAACAGCTACTGAAGTTCTTTTCGGGTGAACGGAGACAAACGATTTTCTGTGTTGTATACAATATGCTGTTTGAAACAAAGAAGATACATCCAGTGATTTACTCGTAAGCTGTTAATTACTAGATAATATATGCCATTCAGTTTTCAGCAGTAGTCGTTTTTAAACTTTCAGTTTATCGCCCGTTATTTTTTAGCTTACCAGTCTGTTGCGGTTAATGGTTTGTTTAATAAGCAAGTTTTCTGAATTCTATGAAAAGCATCTTAATCTTGATAGACTTAGCGATGTAATATTTATTGGAGTTATTGAATTATTTTCTTCTCTGCTTGTGTATTTGTTTGAATTTAAAGAAATTTTTGTTACAGTGTGTTAAATTCAATGAACAGTAAGGAACTCACGGCAACGATAAACAAATTCACAGATTATTTCATATTTATTTTCAAAAAGAATCTTCCCTCAGACGATCAGCAGTTTGCAGCAGTAAGTAGCATAATTAGATAGCTTTGTCTGAATGAAGAATTTGTTTTACTTGTTTTCTTATCTTCTTTGGATATAAGCATTATATTTGTCTTTCTGGATAAATCATTCCTTCAGTTTTTGTGATTTAAATATAAAGTACATGAGAATTTACTGTTGTTGCTCAAATTTTTTAAAAAATTATTTTGCAGTTTTAATGAAATTTATATTTTTTGTGGTCTTTATCATTCAGATGATTGGAATTTTAAACGACATGGCATTTAATTTACATCTGATACCGCTCGATCGGCTGCTTACTTCTCTGGTTCTTCACCCAACTGATGACGGAGCTACCGAGATTGCTATGCTCATAATCCATTCTTTAGTATCTTTATTTTGCATCTTTTCCTCTTTAGAATTTATTAGGAAGACATTCTGTAGGAAAAGAAGTTGTAATAGAACTAAAGATTAAGAAAAGAAGTTGTAATAGAGGAATCGAATAAAAGATTAGGAAAAGGAACTGAAACAAGATAGCAGAGGGATATCATTATACTGGGTATCAATTTAAGATTTACAAAGTTTTTGTTAAAAAGATTTAAGGGTAGCCTCGCAATATAGGTAAATCTTTTAAGAGAAACATCCTTCTATCTATTTTTATTTGTTAGTTAATTTTGCATCTTATGTTAAAAAAAAAAGAAGCTTTGGAGTACATATTCTTATTGTTTTAGGTCGGCTCGTATCCTGATTTGCATAATCGAATTACGGCTTTGGTGCACATAATTCCATCAAATAAAATTGGCAACACTAGTGCTGCATTTTTTAATAAAATGTCAGAATATTATTCGGTAAGTGAGCTCTTAAAAGGTTGATAATGGTTTATTTCTCCGTTTTCTCAATGATTTTTTGCAGCAATTTCCGGAACTGTCATACAGAGAAATGGAAGTAAAAATGAGAAGGGAGATGCAAATTGAATTAGGTATGCGACCAATGGAGCAGCCAACCGTTAATCCAGAATTTCATATGCCAATTTACTATGGTAATATTATGGAACGCATTCTTCCGGTACGTAAAAGTAAATACATTTCACAGTTTCCTAGAAATTCACTACCATAGAAGAAAATTTTAGTTTGAAGATCACTTGATGCATTTCACAAACGCCTATTACGAAAAATAATTTAAGCTTATAGCAATCTTGATTTTTTGTCTTTCGAACTACTTATATATTAAAAATTGTTTGTTAGATATAGTAAAAAATTTTAAAAATTTGTTTGACTTATACAGTTTAGATTTTCCTTCACTTGAACGGTACTGATTTGTTAATAGATTGTGGACATTATCTTACTCCGAGCGATAGAAACTGTAGTTGCTGATCAACTGTTCACGACACTATTGATGTGCTTCAAACCATGCTACCGATATCATCGTAACTTTTCCTATTTAAGCCTTATTGATGAAGATCTTTTTCTTCATTTGTTACTTTTGAGCTTATTATGGTTAAAATAAGAAATTGGCTTCCAGTTTCATGTGTTACGACTATTAGGCAGTCAACTGTATTCGGAGTGTGTGCTTTACATAAACATGAGCAATTTGAAAGGATTTTTATGGTCTGCATTGTATGGGTAAATTTGAGAAAACGATATGGGCGAATAATGTATGCATATATCCATAAATTCATATTATAGCGCAGCCAGCAGCTTATATGTACAGTGTGTTATATTGCTTAGACAAAACTATCTCACATACGGTTCGTGCTAGAGATTTTGTGTTGGAAATTTGTGGACAGCTGGAAGATAGGTAAACTACATGTTTAATTTTATTGACAAGAATCATTTAACTTTCTGAGTTGTTTGGACTTTTAAAGCAATGCCGTCTAAATTGGACCGTCTGTCGAGTATAGTTGAGTGGAACTTGTTCTAAGATATTTTAATTATGGTCTTAAAATCTCACTGCAGAAGCGTAATAATTTTTGGAGATCTTTCTCCTTCGATTATTGAATGACAAGTTGGTACGAGCATTTTTCAAAATAAAATTGAAATTTTATTGAGTTGGAGAAATTTTTAAGGGATGGTAAATATGCCCTTTTAACGCCGTCATTTATTTCCGACAATCATCAATTATCATTGCCGTCTCAGTTTTGTCAAGCATTGGTGGATCGCATTTTGCAAGCTTCTAACTATGCCCACCAGCCACCAGCTTTCGCTTATAAAGTAAAAATGATAGCGATTTCACCGTAGTTTTTTGTTGAATAATGGTTTGAAATTGTTTTATTAGTAGTTCAATTTATCAGGTCATATTCAGGATTGGAGGTTCGCGGAGATGCCACCTGCTGGACAAGCCCTTACTGGCGCATGTATCGAGCTGCTTGCATCTCCACATGCACCAGTTATTACAGCCCATGCGCTCATTGATTTGGTTTTTATTCGGCCATTGCACCAGCCGTTCGTTTTTCTGAATTGTGTGTTTCTGTTACTTCTCTCTCTTCTCCTGTCCCCTTCCCTCAATTAAGAATTCTGTCATTAACTTGATTACGCTACATTCTTTGCATCATTGCTTCGACGTATGTAGACAATCGCGAGTACGTCTGAATTTTGTTGCATGCCACATTTTAAAGTGTTGTGACCTAGTAAAGAGCAGTGACTGATTTCGGTAATGAATTTGCTGTTTCACAATCTTTTTTTCAGATATGCCACTATCAATGCAGTTGCTCTGATTTTAACGGCTCTGCCAGTTTCTTTCCAACAAGTTTTTTATGAGCATATTGTATCCGTGCTCGATTCAGAGGCACTACACGGTATGACTTTTTCCAATAATTTTATTCTTTTTTAAGATTTGAATAAAAATGTGGGTTTTAGGCGACCCCTCCGTTTGTTTCGGCAGTTTGGAAAGTGAATGCTTCCTGCTTACCGAAAATCAGTTACTAACGAATCTTGCACTCGGCCATGCTTATCTTCAACACTGCAATACAGTTCGTATTCACTTCTTCTAATAGGTTATATGGAATAATCAGCTTAAAATGGAAATGAATGTTTTTTAGAGATTTTAGAAAAATGAGAAATTAAAAATTTCTGTTGAAAATATTTTTTTCTTTATTCGATACAATGCTCAACCTAGAAGTTTCTCGCTATCCTTATTCTAATAAGTTATTCTCTTTCTAATTCTTATTCTTATTCTAATTATTCTAATCCTAATTATTCTTAGCTAATTTTATTAAGTTAATATTCTAGAGTTCACTGGCAGCTTTGCCTGAATTTGTACGTGATCAGCTTGCACCAAAATTAGTCACGGAAGCGCAACTCATATTCGTACTTCGGCTCGTTGTGCCCATTTTACAACGATTTTATGATGCCAAAGAAAGAAGCAAGCAGATACAGGATGTGTGTCTTATTATCATTTTTTCATAACAGTTCTTTTAATTTATATTTTCTTATGTTCTTAATAAGGAAATGATTTTATGCATTCCTGACTTCCATGTGTGATAAATTTATATATAAAGCTTTTAGTTACTGAAAGGATAAAAGACTGCTTCTGTAATTGAACCGAAACTTTAAGAAAGAGCTCATGTAATCAGCAGTGAAAAGAAAACATAACTAATAGATTCAAAAAATATATTAGATTTAAATTTTGGATTTCTCACTTCTTGTGTTAGCGCTTTTTTTCATTCTTTCGAAATAGTCAGTTGTTTAATTCAAGACGAGATTCAAGAAAATAAAATTAATTTCAGCTCGCTGTGGATGTTTATAAGATGACGGTGAAAGTAAACGAACGAGTAGGCGTACTGAAATACGAGGATTCAATTTGCGATTTTTTGTACCATATGAAGTATATGTACGTCGGTGATTTTGTTAAAAATGAAGCAGAGCAGGCAATACAACGATTGTCACCATCTATGCGAGACAAATTGAAGTATATCTCACATACACAAATAAACACCACTATTGATCTTCCTCATAAACTCGCTCCTGGTCCATCTACTCTTTTCTAGAATTTGTTATTTAACGGACTCTTAAGCGTAATTCGTTGTTATTTGACGTTGTTAGACATTGTACAGTGTGTAGTTTAAAATAAAGTAATTGACAAGTCATAGCTTGTTTTTTATATTGCAACACTGTTTTGCGGTTTGCTGCATATCGCTATAATGCATTTCAACAATATGATTTCTTGATGATTAACGAAATGTACTGAAAACCTTTTATGTTTGGGTTTAATGCATAGTCGTTGTTTTACAAATTTTCATGGTTTTATTTACTTGTAGTTCGCATTTCGCAGTAATTGGAATGTTTGTTTCTCATAAGAAAAAGATATTTTGAAGTATTTAAGATCTAAATGCAATAAAACGGGGCGTATGGATGGAGCATGGTGCTGGAAGTCATACTATGCAGTTCTCTCAAACAATGAAGCTTATACGAGGGGTAGCTTTATTTTTGGTTATAGCTTAGAAGTAAATTGTTCGCATAACGTAAGCATTAGTATTCAAAATAAGGGATTGTTTAATTTTAGTTTCACTTGTTAATACCGGTTTACAAATTTAAATGCCAATACAAAATCACGCTCGGTTTTTTATCTAGATGCTGACCGTTATAGAGCTCTTGGTACTGGGGAAATATGTCATGGAGAGACGCGGAGAAAGTGCTGATGAGTCAGCTACCAGGAACCTATCTCGTACGAGATTCAGCTAGTGATCGCTATATTTTCACGATATCATATCGAACTAAACATTCTGTTCATCATACGCGTCTTGCACAACATGGTGGAAATTTTTGTCTTGGAGGTAGTTTAATTCTTTCAACATAATTAAAATATCTTGTTTTAAAAGGGATTATCGGATTCTCAATTATTGTTAGAATTGATTTGGCTATGCAATCATCTGGATTTGAATGGATAGCTTTGTATATTAAGCTGGTGTTCGCCGTATTTGACGTTCAGTTATGTTATTAAATACAATCCTAACAAACAGAATTTTTGAGAATTTTGAATATTTCCGTACACCGCCTGCAGAAATTAAGAATTACGATGGTAAGTATCACAATGAACTTAAAATCTCTCCTCATTCTTAGTTCGAAGAAAATTAACTCAATTATTCCAAAAGAAATTTGGGTTAGGCAACAGAAGATTTAAGATTGACTGAAAGTCATGTAATAATATATTTGACTTTAATTTTGTAAAATTACTTTTGATAGTTACTTTAGCTAATAATCTCCCTTCGCTTTCTAAACATACACCTACGATTTCGAATATTTTATCATTCTCCTACATTTAAAGTTTAAAAATGCATGTTTTAGGGCCAAATTCATTGGTGAAAGCGAATTCGTTAGTTTCGTTCATCGAAAATTCGTTGCAGAGCTGTGGTAGAAGGAGGATCTGCATGCTGATGCATCCGAAAAGTGATAGCACAGGAATCGAGATCCTTGAACTAAATCACTTGTTACATCGACATGAACTTCTACCGTCTCTGAAATATTTGTGTAGAGTGGTCATACGTAACTGTGTTGAAAAGGAGCTACTTCCATCTTTGCCTTTGCCGCCAAATATGATTTGTTATTTAGAGGACCCGAAATATTTCGTTCCTTCTTATTTCTGGAGTTAAGGAGCTTTAGGTTGCAAGGGTCATTACTTTGTGAATTCTAACTTATTCATGATTTTTCCCGTTTTCTCTTCTCGCTATTCCAACATCCCTTCACTAATAGCGGCTTGTGCCAACATTCTTATTGTCCGCAGTGCGGAATTTCAAAATTTCATATTGAACTGGTATTTGTATGCAACTCTTCAGTTTATGCCGCATTTGCACTTTTGTGATTCCATTTCTTGCTATCTTTCAAAGGTGATAATTGGATAAGGAATGTTGGTAACAGTTGATACATTTCATCGCATTTATAGGAATTTGTGCATATTGCGACGTAATGTTATGTTTAATTTTTTATTCATTTTAACATTTCTCACGGTGAATCAAGCTTTAATCGTGGAGTGAGCTTTCTTATGCTTTATTTTGAAAGTTATTGGAAAATAAGAGGGATCTGGGTGAAGTAGTGGTAGTTTTGGATATTTTATTAAGTACATAAAGACGAGATCAATTCACAACATGGATTGAAAAAAAAATTGGTTAACTTTGAAATATTTTCTTCCAGTGTTGACATCTATTTCTTGTATGCCGTACAATTGTATGATAATTTTTTAACTTTTTATATTTACAAATGCCGGTATGTATTTTCAGTTTTGTTGGTGATTTCCCGTGTTTGTAAGAATATATTAATAAAAGTAGTAATGTAATTATTCACTGGCGTTGCTGTGTTGCCTTTTAGAATTAGTTGTTTGTGTGAAGTGAATATCGATCATTCCTACTGATATATCAAATTTTGTTTTTAATTTCACTGTGAAATATAGGATTCTTAAGTTTTCTTTTGCTATCTTAATACTGCTTGATTCTAATTTAAAACATATATGGTGCTTGTCCAGTCCAAATTTAATGGCCCTCATGTGCAATTTCTGATCAAATTATTCGAGATATTCAAGAATAGCGGGCTTCTGTCAGCAGTTCATTACAAATTTTCTGATGTGTCACATGAAGGGATGCGTGAAATATATACGGCGATGAGATGTTTGAAGCATTATTCCACCATATTTGCTGTGAGCTCGGGTGCGTTACCTGCTGCCATATCAGTCATCCGGGTTTCCGGTTAGTTCATTTAGTATTCTGAGATTTTTTCATTATTTTAATATAACTTTAATTATGGTATTATTCCGTAATAGCATGTTTTTCTCTTGCAAAATTTCTGTAAAAATAGGAAAAGAAAGTCGACGATGTCTAGAGGAGCTTACGGGTCGGAAAAAAATTCTGCCTAGGCGGTTATTTTATGCGAATATTCGACGAAATGGAGAACTTATTGATAGAGGCATGGCGGTTTTTTTACCAGGTCTTTTTTTTGAATCGGCTTTTTTTTGTTGATGAGCAACAAGTTAACTGTAGTCATGTTATCTGTTTTATTTTTTAGTGGAAAGGTTTGTTCAAAGCAAACTTTTTGTTGCACTGTTTGCTACTACTTTGGATTCGCTCTGTTCAGTTTTCTTATGGATCTTTTACTTTAAGAAGCTGGCATGTTGAGGCAATAAGATCATAAACTAAATAATCCATATCAGTAATATATACATATCTTATCTAAATAATTCACGATTAAGCCTAAAAAGATTTCCAAAAACTAATTGTGTAAATAATGCTTAAAAAAACTCCCTGAAATATTAAGCCATCTAATTATTTATAAATTTAGGCCCGAAAACATCAACTGGAGAAGATGTGGCTGAATTCTATGTGCACGGTAGTAGAGCAGTTGTTGACTGTTTGTTGGAAGCATTAGCGCAAATCGACAACATGGAACCTGCAAAGGCTGGAGAGTTTACGAAAAGGTTTGAAATAAATGGGTTATTCGCTTTATTGTTCGGTTCTTTAAATTTATCAGCATGATGTAAATCTTCCTTCTTAAATATAATTTACATATGTTTCTGAACTTTAAATTCATTTTGTATAGGGCATTTTTCAATGGAAAGATGACGTTGCAGGAGGTACAATCGCTTGCGTGTCTTTTGGCTGCACGAACACAACGTCAACGACGCCTAGCTTTGCACGTGAATACTTTAGGCAAGTGAGTTATCTGTATTGAGAATTACTAATGGTGATAGTTATGCGTCGGTGACAATATCACTTTTAGATAAAGCGATGGAAGGCATAAGGAAGCAACTTATCGAAATGCGTGCTTCCGTGGAAGCATCCATTGATTTTGGCGATGATATTGGGTTTCATTGGGAAGATATCCATGTCGCAGTCAATTCAATGATTAACGAATTGAGCAGCATCCGAGAACAAATGCATCGAGGAACACTAATCACTAATGGCCTAAGAATAGTTATTTTGGGACAAACAAATGTTGGAAAAAGCAGTTTGTTCAATCGTATAGGTAATCTTTTATCTTAAGCTCTTCAAGATTTATTTAGTGAGAAATGTATTTTTTGTATACTTGAATCAAATATTTATAGCGAACCGGGACATGGCTATAGTATCAGATATTGAGGGAACAACTCGTGACTCACTGGAAGCGACAGTTCAACTTTCTTCTATCCCAGTGACCATTGTTGACACTGCAGGAATTCGTGAAATTCCCTTGGATTCTCTCGAAGCAGAAGGCATCAAGAGGACACTGAAAAGGTTGTTCACTTTTCTATTCCAATGAATTATGGCTATAGAGGGTCATTTATATGTAAAATATTACTTTATAAACGATTAATTCCTGATCTTATGATTATTTCAAGTTATTAAAAAATATCACGAAAAATGCTTCTTCAGTTGAATAACGAACTTAATGAAACTGACTCTACAACAACGTCATTTTTCCTTCAAACGTTATTTCATATTCCATATTATCTATACATACAATCGGTTATTTTTTCGTGATTTAGAATATTGTGTATAAATTCAAAACTATTAGAATTCAGATTAAAAAATTTCGAAAAAAAACAATGTACACTTAAGCCATGAGTTAATATTAGTTGATATATAAATTGAGATGTATAAATAATCCATGAAAAGGAATCTGATTCCAGAATTTAAAAAAATTAGGTATTAAAGGAAGTTATTAAAATATCTATTTATAGAGCGGTGGAAGCCGATATTGTGATTGTGGTAATAGACAGTAGCGCGTGCAAGGATTTCGAAACAGATGTTCGCTCAGTGCTTTCTTGGTGTCATCTCGAAGAAAATGCATCTGTTTTTGTTGCTCTGAATAAATGTGATTTACACAGCGTTCCGAATAATGTACTCCTTCCGTGGCCCGCTGTTAATACGTCATGCATTTCCGGTGAAGGAATCAATTCATTGGTCAGTCTGTAATTCTAGTATCTGTAATTCTGTAATTATAGTCTGTAAGTATCTGTAATTCTAGTCAAATCTTATATAATTATCTTTATTTGTTTTGTTTTCCAAAAATTGATTGCAAGCATATTCCAACAAATTTTATGGGTTATAGTCAGAAAGCACTCCTGGTAGTTGGTATGTTCATTGTCTATTTATGTAGGAATGTGGATAATGTTCACATCACTTTAAATTTTGTTAAGTTTTAGCTTGAAATCATTTGTGAACATATCAATAAGTTGTGTCCAATGTCCGACGATAGCGCTGTTCTCAGCAGTCCCGTTCACCGGTTACTGATGAAGGAATCCATTCTTGTCCTTAGAAAGGTATTTTGCTTAATTTTTTTGACTACACCCCGTTGCTTTTTCTTCTCCCTTTCAATTAAAAAACATTCACAAAATCGTGGTGCGCCATTAGTCAAGTTTTGCGGAGCTCTAATATTTGTCAAATAATTTTCATGTGCTCCTTTGATAAGCTATGATTCCTTGTTGGGAAGGCATTAGCGACCACTTTTGTCGCAGTTTGGGTTTGAAACTCATGCCAGTTTTTCATTTTTCAACTATTCAAGGCATTGAAAGCGAACGATATTGCTATTGTAGCAGAACTTTTGCGCGATGTATCGGACTACGTGGGTGAGATGTCAGGTGCAATCGTGAACGAGCAGATTCTTGATCAAATATTTTCCTCATTTTGCATCGGAAAATAATAAAATTGCATACAACTGCGGCTGCGGCTTGATCCTTCCGCGAATAGTTTCTTCTTGTTTAAGCTGATTACTGTCCCAACAACTTCTTGGTACAAGATTTTATATTCAGTCATTTCTCTAAAGTATATATTGTTTTTTTGTACAAATTTATAAAATATTAAAAATGTGAAAAGCACAACTTCTGTACTACGAATACTTTAATTTTTGTAATTAGACGGGTATTTCGATGACGACCACTTTAATTTTTGTAATTAAAATTGTTGGAAGCCAACTTCGATTTAATTGTGGCAGAAATATTTTATTCAAATAATAGAAATCTTAAATCAATTCAATGGAGCACATCACTGTATATTGCAAAATGCATGGTTAATGTGTGATACTTTGAATGCAATTTGTTAATAAAGTTTGCAACACTAACAGTACTTCACTTTTCAGCTATTTTTCCGCGAACATACATAAACTAGATGTAGGAAATATGAAAAAAAATTGATTGTGGGGTTTTTGGTTAAGAAGGGGTAACTAATGAATGATAACTGTAAAGGCCAAGGCAGTTATAGAGAATGAATTCATGAAATATGATAAAGATAGGCCATTTATGACTTTTTGTTGCGGCTTCCTACACGGTGTACTTCGTGCGTTGTTGCTTTCATTGCTTTACTAATTTCGTTCATTTCATGCAGTATCTGTTCGCACATATCCCTCGAATTAGGCTGCAAATGACTCCACTGCATATGAAATATATCTCGATTTTTTTGTAAATCTTGGCTTTTCAGCACCCGAGGATTTCCCTATTTAATTTCTAACAAAAGAATGCTTATGCTAAATAAGTAAATACTGAAAAAAAGCAAAGATTTCAATCAAAGCTCACCAGTTTAATCAATCGTTCATGAGCACTCTGCAACAAAGCTTTTGCATCGGTAAGCACTGATTGCAAACGCTCATTTTCTAATTGAAGCGTTTCCATCTGAACAACTTCGGATTATGTGTGATGAAAAGCACTTTTGAAAAAACTGGGCACAGACATAAAAAAACAAGTGGAGAAGAGAACAGAGTATAGGTATAAATTTTATCAATATGGTCGGCGAAATGATCATGAATAATATGTTCGAAAAACTCAAGACATACTGAAAAAGATTTTGACTTCTGACCAAAACAAAGATTTTAAGGAAAGAAATCACCGGAACAACATTTTCTTTAATTTTCTCAAAGTGTTGCGAATGCTTGCGCAGGGAATCGATTTGAAATCGTAAAGACCTCATATTCGACAGCACTTCTAACACTTCTGCCTTATGCTAAAATGTTTTTGAATGGATTTCTAATGAAATATAAGCTTCAAGTAAAAAAGATCTTTTTTGGCCAAAAATAATACTGATATGTAGAAACGAAACTTACAGGTCTACTTGAAATGATCTTGAGCTTTTGAACAATTTGATTGGCAGCATTGAATATTGTTCTAAGGTCAGCTGATTCTGAAAAAACTAATTCCGTTAAATTCTTCTCTTAATAACAGCGTGAAATTTATTTTTAAATAGCTCTCTTACCATTTTGTGATCCACTTAGACCTATGAAAGAGGAGTTACCCAATTCATCATTGTTTGATCTTGAACTTTCAGTTTTAGTCCTGGAAAATATCAAGTATCAAAGTTTGTTTGCACAAATAACAATAGCTTATTTGGTTTATACGAATTCCCAAGCTTTTCTTAGTAATTTTTGCAAAGACTGACCAGTTGCGCAGTGTCGCTGCAGGCTGCAATCTATTCTAATATGAAGTTTGACACTTCGATCTTACTCTTCCCTATCTGAGGCTAACATAACTGAGTGGTCTATAGAAGACTACAAAAGTTAACTTACTGCTGCAAATTTTGTTGATTTGCGGAAAGATATAACTGCAGCTTGGTTTCTTCCGTTATTATTTTTTCTCGCATTTCATTGACTCCATCTGAGAAGCCCTTTAAAATTCGGGCATATGTATGGTACAAGTCATCTAGATCGACCGATTTATATGAAATCCTGAATATGTTGCTGCATATTGAGAATTATGCTATTTATTATCGTTTAAATAGTATAATTCAATTCAGAATTACGAATGATCAATCCTTTATTATTCGAAAATTATTCCTTCCATAAATTTGTGGTAAGATGCTTCATACCAAATAAAATTACTTTCTGCCTTCTAGCTGCAAAATACTCTAACTTCCGCGGCTGAAAACAATTTAGTTGCACAAAACATGCAACATAGAGAAAGATTGCAAATTCTTGCCGAAAGAAAAAATATTAAGAAAATGTTCACCCCCGAGTAACTGCAGCTTCATCATTCCATTGCGCTGCAAGTGCATACATTCGTTTTGCAAATGAAGATATTTTTTTTGCCTTATTCGTTAATTCAACAAAATCATGCGAAGACACGATAGTCATAGTGCCAATCGTCTAGAATAATGAAATATTTTGTTATTCACACTTATATTGATGCTTTATTGAACTTACAGTAAGACATTCGCGCTGAAGTCTTCGCTAAAGGTCACTAGATTTTCACATTTACAGATTTCTAAAAACATTCAAGCTATCTAAAAATCAGTAAAGAAAATTTCGTCCCATAGTACTCACCACTGTATACCGTTCAGAATGTTGTTTCTCGGAAAGAGAACTGTGATTTGGCTTCGAAGTCAGTTCTTCATACTTCGCTTCGACATTGATCAACATATTCGTTAATTTTTCATTCTACAAAAAAAAAACATAACTATGGAAAGACTACTAGGAAATAAAAATTGTGTACCAGAAAGATATAGTTTACATTTTCTTTGACACAACTATTCTCCGATTTTAGATGTTGCAAATCTCTTTCCATCATTTTAACCGATTGTTTCTCCATTTGCACTTGATTCTGAAGAGCTAATAACTTCTGCTTAGTTTCATTGTGCTCTGCCTGAAATAAAGTACATAATCTTTGCAAGAATTTGGTAACGCATAACGTTATTCTTCCAAATTTAGCATTTGAAAAAAATTTGAAACGATAATGAATGGAACTGCATTCCTTTTTCACTAAATCAGAGCAGAAGAAACTATATATAAAAAGGAAAAAATAATAAAAACCAATCAATGAATAAGGAAGGTAAGCACCACTGCATACAGAAATACCATGATCCTATTTAAAATTTTTCGGACAAAGTCAAAACAACAGCATCATTAACCATAAATCACTAAAGTAACAAGGATATTTGGTCATCAGAAAACTGATTAAAAATATACTGCCTTACTTCAAGATAAGCATTCTGATCGGATAATCCATTACATTTTAGACTAATGGCACTACGACTTCTTTCACATAAATCTAAATCCTGTTGAAGCTTAACCACTTGATTTCTTAAATCAGCAATATAATGGCTGATTTTACTGAATTCCTCAAGATCTGCTCCAATTTGAGAAAGCTGCAAAGCAAAACATTGTTAGAGTGTGTAGACGATGAATTTAATACTACTTTTTAATAATGCAAGCGGTTTTCAACTAAATTACCTGGGCCAGTGTTGCTATTTCCGCATTTGCCGCTTCTATAATCGGTTTGTTAGTCTGCTCCTCAACAATTCCCAAACTTCCTTTTACATTACTAATCAATTCACACATTTTGTTATCTAATCCAATAATCTCCTGCAATGTAAAAATGTTCCTTCTCCAAAAAATGACACTCTAATAGCTACTAGCATGAAAAATGAACAACTTACATTTCTGTAATGAGCCAGTTCATTGTTACTTGATAACAATTGGTCGTTATAATTTTGAACGTCCATTAGAAGTTTCTAAAAACAAAAATTAATGAGAGATAACATGCAATTTAATTTTATATTTTGGAGCAGTTGAATAATGTGTATCTCATATACAAACTCCTGAGTTCAAATTCTTGACAGAGAATACTATTCTAATTGTCATTGATAGCCAAACGATATAAGCTCAACATATTTTATGATAATTTTTTTAATAATTTCATGATAATTTTTTATGAACATATTTATGATAATTTTATGACATATTTTATGATAAAGTAACATATTCAATCTAAGCATATGCAATGATAATAATGCTTCTATGACTGTAGAAAAACTTTGTCAAGTTAGTGATCATAAGCGAACCACGAAAAACAATACTGTTTAGCAATGAGGAGAGAGTAGCACTTAGATCCAAGCATATACAACTTAAAATTAAACAATTAAACCTTGATCGATTCATTCTTTATTTTCAGAGTCTGAGTAACTTCCGCAACTTGAATTTCCAATTCGTGACATTTCCCATTCATTTGATCACTCAGCTGTTTCATTTCGGTTTCTCTCTCTGCGACAAGAGTTTCTTTTGTCTTAACTTTTTGTTGAAGTTCTTGCACCTTTCCATATAGCTCATCATACTGCTGATTCCTGTTCTGAAGCTGTGTTTCCATATCTTTCATTGACGACATCATTTCATTTTCTTTTTCTGCCAAGTTTTTCTTCAATTCATTCAGTTGATCGGTCAGTTTCTGCTTTGATTCTTCCAAGTCAGCAACATGTGCTTGCAACTTTTCATTGAGCTCCGTAGCTTCACCTGCTTTCATCTTTTCGTTTGCTAAGTCCGTGTTTAATTGTCTGTAGGCTCTATGAGCTCGTGAAAGAGCCGATGCATTCTGTAATAGATCTTTCATTCAGTTAAAAAGATATATTAATACTATCATTGAAAATCAGTTAAAACATTAAAAATTAAACCTGTTGATTTTCATTGGATGGTACCGATGATATACCAAAAGAACAATTTAATAACGAACGTTGAAGATGAGCAGACAACTCTCCGATACTTTCTTCCGCGGCTACAAAATGGACACACATATTAAATTTGAAATTAACAAGATTCATAATTAAAATTAATTTGAAGCTGCAGTGATCTTGATAATTTTTATTATCAAATGACGTTATGTATTCACATTTGAAATACCTTCAACATCACGGCTGATATCAACAGCCGTTGCCAGTGAGTGGTCAAGGTCGATGCGAAGTGCTTCTATCTCTGCCAGCAATTCTCTGCCTCGATCACCTGCGCCCAGTTCATCAAGAAGAGTCTGAAGAAACCATGTCTAATAAAAAAATACCAAATGTTCACTTTGATGCAGTAACAGTAAACAAAAACCATTCGCCATTAAAAACAGCATTAATATATGCCACAAACGGCAAAATAAACAAAAGACTCAAAAATCAGCTGTTAAGTCAATCATCCAATTAACCAATTACGGCACAATCACTATTTAAATTCAACAAACCTGCAAAAAATTAGCCGTGCCACGCAATTTCTCGAACAAACGTGTGCAAACAGACTGCAAAACCGAAAGTTTTTTCTTAACTTCACCAAGATCTTCTGTCAGTACCAAAGACTTGCTCAAAAGATCAGCTGCTGATGTTATGTTCAACTGAAAAAATTTCCTTTCACTATATGTGAACAAGAAATTATTGGAAATTACCTGCATTAAAAAACAAATGTATAAGCCTATAACAGTTAAAATTTACCATTTCAGAAGCCCCCATACTTCGTGCGGTATTATCAAGTTGTTCATTGGAATATCGTTCTCCAGAACCATTTACAGCATCAAACAATGCAAGTTTTCCTCCCAATTCTTCCTCGTTTGAATCATCAGGAATAGTTTTATTTTGTGCTAAGAATGCTGCCAATTTTTCATTCTGAAAAAAAATATTCTAGATCATATTACCCAGTCTTTTAACTTCACCATTGAAAACATAAATTTCTTATTACTTAATTTGTATTCAAATAACTGATTTTTCTATTTATCTTTCTAATTGATTTTCTAGATAAGTTAAAGCCTTGAAATTAAATCTGAGAAAACGACTTGGCTGAACTTTTCATAGATATAATTTGAAATAAAATATGAAATCTAATATTTCTTGGTAACTAGAACAATCTTTCTTACCTCACGTTCACAGCGCCTCGTATTCCATTCCGAGCTTTCATCTTCCGCAGATGGCGTTTCGCTAGGTTCAATTTCTGATGTTAGATCATTATTTATAGCACCCCATTCAATTACTTTCTTCCGAATAGCATCATTTTCGGCAGCAAACTGGTAATGCTTTTATTAAAATCTTTAGTTTTTGGCATACAGCAGGCATATTTAAAAGCGCAAAAGTAAATGAAAGCTGACAAAGACATTTATTTATTTTAATTATTTTCATGCAGCTATAGGTAATGCATTCGTACAAAAGCACAGACCTCATTGATTTGATCCAGTATTCCTTGAGCATAAGGATTCAAATTCGGAATATCATGATGCAGCGAGCACGAGTTGTTCCCCTCCTTA